TGCAGGCCTCCTCTGGGAAGCTGCTCTTTGATCTCCATGGCAGCTCAGGGTCCCACTTCCTGCATCCCAGAATGCTTGCTCCAGAAGGACCTCAGAGGTCACAGAGCCCAACCCCATTGGACAGATGGGGCCGATGGGGCCCTGAGAGGCACAGAGTCTGGTCAAGGTCAGACAGGGAGTGGGGGGGGGGGGGGGGGGCGGGCCTTGAAGACCAGTGTCCAGGCAGCAATGCTTGCCCAGGGCCCCCTCCACTCCTCAATGCTCCTCCTGTTTCCCCTCCCTCAGTGGGAAGCCAGCAGGGAGGGTCAGCTCCTTGGCTCTTTCCATTCTCTCTGCTGTGGGGGATCCATTTCCTGCCCCAGCCAAGTAAGTTCAAAGGCCCTGGAATGGCGGGGAGGGGAACCCGGACAGCACAGGGTAGGGAGTGGGTCTTTAAATCACAAAGGCGACTTTATCCTTTGAGATTTTAAGTGGACAGAAGCCAATTTTCTAACATCCTTTCTTCTGATGTGGCCCTTGGCAAAAATTATGACATGGGGCGGGGATAAGGAAACTTAAGGTATCTGAGCCCCTGCTATATGCTGGGCTCTGTGCCAGGCACATCTTTTATAGCCATAACAATCCTTCCTGGTAGGGACTGGTTTCCTCAGTTTACAGCTGAGGAAAGGGACGCACAGGAGGGGAAGTAACTTGCTCAAGGTCACATAGCTAGGATTCGAGCCCAAGTGTGTCTGACTCAAGAGTGTTTAACCTTGCCCTGCCAACGTGGCTCAGTGATTGAACATCGACCTATGAACCAGAGGGTCATGGTTCGATTCCTGGTCAGGGCACATGACCTGGTGTGGGCTCAGTCCCCAGTGTGGGGCATGCAGGAGGTAGCCGATCATTGATTCTCTCTCATCATTGATGTTTCTATCTCTCTCTCCCTCTCCCTTCCTCTCTGAAATCAATATATATATCATGTTTAACCTCAGGCCACATCAGTGCCCAAAGGGTTGTGTTGTGGGTAGCCTGAGTTCTACCACTGTCTCAGCCAGGGTTCTCCAGAGAAACAGAACCAACAGACAGCAGATAGATAGATAGATAGATAGATAGATAGAGTTGGTTCATTATGAGACCGTGGGGCTGAAATGCCCCATGATCTGCTGGAGACCCAGGAAAGCTGATGGTGTCATTCTAGCCCAAGCCCAAAGGCCCAAGATCCAGGAGAGCCAGTGGCGTCCATCCCAGTCTGAGTGCAGCTCAGGCACACAGCGAATTCACTCTGTCTCCACCGTTTTGCTCTGTTCCGATCCCCCACAGATTGGATGATGCCTCACTGGAGTGGGCAATCTGCTTTACTCAGTCCAACAATTAAGATACTAGTCTCTTCCTGGAATACCCTCACAGACTCACCCAGAAATGATGCTTAACTAGTTATCTGGGCATCTCATGACCCAGTCAAGTTAACACAAAATTAACCATCACAACTGGTCCATTAATGCATCCAACAAATACATGCTGAATGTCTGGTAGGTGCCAAGTGCTTTGAGTACAGAGATAATAAAAATAGGCAAAATTAATTGAGTACTTGCTATGTGCCAAGCACTGTTCTAAGTACTTTATGTGAATGAATTTATTTAAGCCCCACAACAATTGTGCAAGGTAGAACCTGTTAAATATCCCCATCTTATGGGGAGTTAAATAGAGTCACAGAGAGAGGAAAGGACACACCATAGTCCCAAAGCCAGGAAGGGCAGAAGCCAGCAGTCAAACTCTGGTGCCAGCGTCCATGCTCTTGACCACTGCACCACACGGCCCTGTTAAACCTCCAGAACTCACAGGCAGGACTCCATAATAAAGTGTGAGTGGGGATGGGTGAGGGAGGTATAGGGCATTGCTGGTGTGCAGAGTAAGGGCAGGCCAAAGCCAGTTTGGGTGGCCAGGAAAAGCTTCAGAGAGGATGTGACAGCAAAACCAATGCCTAAAGAGTGAGGAGTCAGGCCAGAAGGAAATGGACTGCCCTCGGCTGGCCTCAAGGAGCAACCTGTACAAAGGGTGTCCAGAGGAACTGAAGGAAGTTTTTGTCTGGCCAGAGCTTGGAGTGAGGTGGGGAGTGCTGAGCAGGGAGACTTGGAGGTAGAAGGAACCCAGGATCCTGACAGGCACTGAATGACATGGTTAGAAGTCTGGGTTTTATCCTGTGGGCATTAGGGAGCCGAGATGTGAAGCCCTGGACAGGTCACTTTACCTGATTGCACTTCAGTTTCCTTATCAGTAAATTGGGAGTAGAAGAACCTACTTTACAGACCCGGCTGTTATTCAGTGGAAGACATGAGACAATGCATTTGTAGTAGAAACCTCACAAATGTTAGTTTCCAGCACCCCCACCCTCCTCCCCCCAAAAAACAAACAAACCCATGAGGAACCAAAATGCAGAGAGGCAGCTGAACAGCTAGAAAAATGCTACAGGAGCCAGAGGCTCCCTGTGTGCCACGCCAGAGGCTTTGAGCAGCAAGGTACAGAAACTCCAACTCAATATGGCTTAAGCCTTAAGGAGTTCATTTTCTTACAAACAAGGGAGAGATGTTCTAGAATTCGGAAATTCAGTGGCTCAATGTTGTGTTCAAAGAGGTGGCAGCCTCCTTCCCATGTTGGCAATGGCTTGCCTCATGGTCACAAGACAGATGCAACAGGGCCTGCCATCATCCCCATGACCATGTTCAATGAAGAGGCATTTCCTCTTATTCATCTTTAAAGGACAAAAACCTTTATTGGACGCCTCTTCACCAGACTTCCTCTCTGGTCTCATTGGCTGGGATTAGATCATAAACCTTTCGCTAACCAATACTGGCAAAGGGGATATAATGACCTTGGCTCACTTAGGCCATTCACAATACGTATCCCAGGGCTGAGGATGGACTTGTCTCCTGATTGCTGGCCTCAAGGGGGCAGGACCCAAACAAAACAGGTCTTTCTAATAGGGAAGAAGGGGGGATAGATTTGGTGAGGCATTAGCATTTTCTGTGACTCCAAGGACCTGAATTCATTATCTGTGGCTCGGGACAGTAAAGGTAATTCTGTCCCCCACCTGCTGGTGGGCTCAAGGGCTGAAATCATGCTATGACCCTGGAGGTCAGGTCAGGCTGAGCCCAAAGCCCGGAGCTTAAAAATCACCTCGAAGGGGCTGAGGGAGCTGGAGTGTGTCCCCTGGGCCCCCTGGGTCTAGCTCAGTGCCTCTGACAGAATCCATCATTTACTCATTCAATCTGCAAATTATTTGGTTAAAATATTTTTTTAATTGATTTCAGAGAGGAAGAGAGAGGGAGAGAAAGATAGAAACATCAATGATGACAGAGAATCATCGATTGCCTCCTGCACGCCCCCCACTGGGGATCAAGCCCACAACCTAGGCATGTGCCCTTGGCCGGAATCCAACCTGGGACCCTTCAGCCCAAAGGCCGATGCTCTAATCATTGAGCCAAACTGGCCAGGGCTCAATCCACCAATATTAATTGGGTACTTGTGGCGGGGACAAACAATGAGTAAAACTCAACATGGACCCTGCCCTCACAGAGCTTACCTCCTAGTTGTGGAGAAAATCAGGTATGTGTGAAATGGCAACCATGGTCTGTTGTGGACTGATGAGCACCCGATGCTGGAAGAGGAAATAGCAGGGGGACTTGACCCAGGTGGGGAGGTCAAGGACTTGGGTTTGGCACTTGTTTTGATTCCAGACTCAGTCACTTACTACCTGTGTGACTTCTCAAATGTAATTTGCTTGACATTTCTCTATGCCTTGGTCTTCACTGGGAAACAGCAAAAATAAGGGTAGCTGTCTCTGGGATTGGCAGGAAAACTCAATGACATAATGCAGCCCATTCGACCATCATGCAAGAACTAGGAACCCGCACACTATCGACAGTCCAATAGTACAGCACATGGGTAGGGCTTCTGGCCCGAGCCAGACTGTATGGGTTTGAAGCCCAGCGAGCTCTGCCTCCTTCTAGTTCTGCTTCCTTCTAATGTAACATTGAGCAATGGCCTCATCTCTCTATGCCTCAGTTTCCACATCTGTACAATGGAGCCAGTAACAAAGGGAGTTGTAGGGACTAAATAGGTTGTGTATCTTATATAATAAAAGCCTATGTGGTCGTGACGCTCTTACGCCCTAACAAGCAATCACCAGGAGGCTGGGTGTGCAGCGGGCGTGTGCGGGTGGGCGGGGCTGTGTGTGAGGCACACTCGGGTGGGTGGGGGGGGGCTTGACACTGTGTGCGGTGCAGAGGTGGGACCCCCGGCTCTAGCCTACCTCTTTGGGGCAATCCATCAAGGAGCCCCAGATGGGTGGGCGGGGCCTACCTCTTTGGGGCGATCAATCGTGTGGGGCTCCCACACTGAGAGGGCACAGGCCAGGCTGGTGGACCCCCCCCCCCCAAGTGCATGAATTTCATGCACCGGGCCTCTAGTTAGTATATAAAGCTCTTTGCACAGGGTCTGACACAGAGTAAACTCAGTAAAGGTTAACAAAGATCATTGTTATGTGTTGCTGTTTTGAAATTCATCATAAAACAAATGTGAAAACAGCTGGATGCAAGAATTTCAGTCAAGCCACTGCAAAGTCATTTTTCTTGCTGACATCTTAATAATAAAGGCGTTTGGCAGAGCAATATGCGTACAGCTACGAGTGTTAAACATCCCTAAGCATGCCGGGGTTTTGATTGCATCCAGATTCTCCTCTGGAGCACTGGCTGGCCTGCCCATTTCTGTCACCTCCAGCGCCATCAGTAACACACCTTGAGAAGCAACCATTGTTAGGATAAACAAAGCAAGACGCAGCCGCCGCGGGCAGCCGCACCGCAGCCCAGCCTCCGCTTCCTTCCGGGCTGCTTCCAGCTTGCAGCGGTGTCTAACCAATCGCGAGCCGCAGGATGCAAATTGTGTTCCCTAATTGATCCATCAAGCTACGCACAGTTCAGGTTATGAAAACGGGCGCAGTGGGAGGAACGCCTGCGCGTGCAAACACTCAGCCCTGGGCCCGGCGGATGTGGAGCGTTTGGGGAGCTCAGCTATTGTCTTCAATAGTATGATTCCTCCAGATGGTGGGAGCACCGGGGCCCCCGCAGGCCCGAGAGAACCGTCGCCAGCTTTGCTTCCCCTTCCCTTTGTGAAACCACTGACGCCTCTGCAGGTCCTCGTGTTAAATTACAGCCACACCTACTTCCCAGGGTGGTGGAGAGGATGCCGGGAGTCGGTGCGCGAGTAAGGCTTTGGGAATGGGGCCTGGTACTGGCTGAGTGCTCAGAAACAGCAAGGGCAGTGATGGTATCTGACGCATTGAGCACTTACCACGTCCACTCTCCAGATTTAACCCTGACAACCTACGCATGAGGTAGGTAGCCATAGCATTCCCATATTACAGGTGAGGAAACAATGGCACAGACCGGTTAAATAACATGCTTTAAGTTACACGGTAAATCCTAACATTAGAGGCTGTGATTATAGGGTCCCCCCCCCCCAAAAGGAGAGCATTAATCTGGAGAGTCAGTAGAAGCACACCCATATGTAATGAACATAACAGCTTGTGCACAAGGGGGAAAGCTGGCAGGAAAAGACTTCAGAATGTAAATAGTGCTTATCGCTATCTACAGGGGAGGCATGTGGGTGGCGTTATACCCCTTTCCCCCTCATTAATCTGTTTTCTAAGTTTTTCATTAGCAGCATGTATTACTTTTATATTGGGGGGAAAGAATCAAAATTGATGTTTTAAATCGCTGTGGCAAGAGCCTAGATCAGCGATTTTCAACCTTGTTCATTTCATGGCACACATGAACTAATTACTAAAGTTCTGCGGCACACCAAAACATATATATTTTGCTGATGTGACAAAAAGAATAGGTATACTTTTGATTTACAAAAAATAGTAATAATAGTAATTCCTACCCTTTTGTGCTCCCAAGTGACTCTTTAAAAAAGCAGGTGCCTATACTTCTATACAAGGATTTCTGGTACTAAGAATTAACCAAACAGATGCAACCTCAGTATCGATTAGACCAATAAGCTGCAACTCTGTTGTATGACCTATGCACTTATGATTCAAGACACGGCATTCACCCGGCTACTGTTGTGTTGGCTCTTGTCATTTTTTTTTTTTAACACATTTTACTGATTTTTTACAGAGAGGAAGGGAGAGAGATAGAGAGTTAGAAACAGATGAGAGAGAAACATCGATCAGCTGCCTCCTGCACATCTCCTACTGGGGATGTGCCCGCAACCAAGGTACATGCCCTTGACCGGAATCGAACCCGGGACCCTTCAGTCCGCAGGCCGACGCTCTATCCACTGAGCCAAACCGGTTTCGGCAGCTCTTGTCATTTTTAAAATTTGACAACCTAAAGGAAAAGAGGTCAGTGCCCCTGATTTTAAAAGGAAAAACTGAGCCCTAGCTGGTTTGGCTCAGTAGATAGAGCATCAGCCTGTGGACTGAAGGGTCCTGGGTTCAATTCCAGTCAAGGGCACATGTCCGGGTTGTGGGCTCAATCCCCAGTAGGGTGTGTGCAAGAGGCAGCCAATCAATGATTCTCTCTCATCATTGATGTTCTATCTTTCTCTCCCTCTCCCTTCCTCTCTGAAATCAATAAAAAAAAAATTTTTAAAGGAAAAACTGAGAAATGCTGTGGAAGAGACGCTATGGATTATCCACCCAACAGCACTCCTTTCAGTAACAGAACCTTGATTTTGGTTAGGTATCCAGCAGCCATCTGCTTCCTGGGTCTGGACCCCTCCCACCACAGCACATAAGCCAATCACAAGAATCCATTGTCCTTTCCTGTAAAGGGTTTTGGAGTGGCCCAGTGATATAATTCTGGCCAATGAGACAGGAAGGGGGTCTGCTGGGTGTACTGCAGAAGAGGAGCTTCTTAGCACTTCAGAAGAGGTGCAAAGAAGAGCTCATCCTTCTTCAGCAAGATATTTTCATGTCTTCTAGGGAGACTGCACAGCAATGAGACTGCGAAGTATGATGAAATGTGAAGATGGAAAGCAAATTGATGTCAGCATTAAGCGAACACTGGAGAAGCCTGGCCTCTGGGTGACTTCTTAAGTGAGATAATAAGTATCCTTATTCTCTAGTCACTTTAGTTGGGTTTTCTGTCAATTACAACTGAAAACATCCATCCTTAAACACATATTGGTTTCTCTATTTCTCCGTCCAATTCCAAAGAGGATTAGGCTTATCCTAAAATAAATTACACAGGGAAAACTCAGAACAAGGGTAAACAAGTATGACATCATGGCAAACTAAATACCCTTAATGACCTTCCTTATGAAAAATAGCTGATGTTATTTTAAATGAATCGGTTGCATTTATCAGCTTATATTTACATAAGAGGCAACAACCAAAAATGAAAGCATATAAGATGTCAGCAGGTAATAATGTATAGAGAGAAATAATTTGGGGAAGAGGGATCAGGAGTAAGTAGGCTACAGTTTCAAATAAGGTGTTCAAGGTAAACTTTATTGAAATGGTGACATTTGAGAAAAGACTTGAAAGTGATGAGGGCAATAGCCATATGAATATCTAAGAGAAGAATGAATCAACTAAAGGAAATAGTGCAGAGAGCCTATGGTGTGAACCTGTCTGGAATGTACAGGGAATAACAAAAAAGACAATATGACTAAATGAGTGGATGGGAGAGTAGGAGGAGAAGAGGTCATAGTATTGATAGATACAAAATTCTAGATTTACAGTATTTTCTTTCAGCCATTTGAGATTATCATTCATTCCCTTGTCTTCTGGCTTCCAGGGTATCTGTGCAGAAGTCCACTGCCAGACGTATTACATAGTCTTTGAAGACAATATGTCTTTTTTCCTCTCGCTGCTTTTCATGTTTTCTCTTTGCCTCTGGTTTTCAGAAGTTTTTGCTATTTTATCTCTGAATTTGTTTTTCTTTCTATTCATTCTGTCTAGGGTTCATAGTGCTTCATGTATCCTATGACTTAAAGTCTTTGGTTTTAGAAATTCTCAACCATCAACTCTTCAAATATTATTTCTGCCTTATTTTCTCTTTCTTTTCATTCTGAGACTCAGTTACACATTATTTAGACATGTTCACTGTGTTTCATGTCGTATATATTCTTTTCTGTATTTTTTTATCCTTTAGTCTTTCTTACTTTGGTCTGGATTTTTAAAAAAATATATTTTTATTGATTACAGAGAGGAAGGGAGAGGGAGAGAGAGATAGAAACATCAATGTTGAGAGAGAATCATTGATCAGCTGCCTCCCACACGCCCCACACTGGGGATCCAGCCTGCAACCTGGGCATGTGCCCTGACCCGGAATTGAACTGGTTCATAGGTCATCACTCAACCACTGAGCCACGCTGAATAGGCTGAATGTGTTCTTTTAGCCTGTTTCCAATCTGCTAATTTTCTGTTCAAGTGCATCTAATCTGCGTAAACCCATCCACTGAGTTCTTAATTTCAATTTTTATGTTTCAGTTATAGAATTTACTTTTAATAATTTTCATAGTTCCCAATTCTCTGTTGAAAATTTCCATTGTTTCATTTAATTTGTTGATCATATTAATTACTGTATTGAAAAGTCTGATACTGCCAATAGCTGGGTCTCTGGTGGGTCTCTTTCTATGACATACTTTTTCTTTTTCTTTTTTAAATTCATGTCTCTTTGTATGTTTGGTAACTTTTTATTAAATTTTAGCATTGTATATGAAAAATGTAGAGATAATTTGAAGTTCTGGCTCATGTTCTACAATGATTTGCTTTTTAAAAAAGATATTTTTATCGATTTCAGAGAGAAAGGGAGAGGGAGAGAGAGATAGAAACATCAATGATGGGGATCAAGCCCAAGACTGGGCATGTGCCTTGACTGGAATCAAACCTGGGACCCTTCAGTCCACAGGCCGACATTCTTATCCACTGAGCCAAATCTGCTAGGGCTTTACTTTGGACAGGTAGTAGTGACAGACCATTTTGATGCGATCAGGGACTGAGCTGAACCAAAGCTGGTCTTTCTTTAGTGTTTATGATGGCTCGTCTATTTCTGATTCACTCAAAGTCACAAATTGTGAGAAGCGCTATAAAGGAAGTAAACAGAGTAATAGCACAGACGGTAATGAGGAGTGGGAGTGAGAAGTGGGGGCCACTTTAGCGGGAGTGCTCAGGGAAGACCTCTGGATGATGAGAAGCAAACAAACGTGAAGATGTAGATTCTTCCCATCAGAATAAGCAGCCAATGTGAGTGTCCTGAGGTAGAAATGAGCTTGGCAGCTCTGCAGAATAAAAAGAAGTCAGAGATGAGAAGCCCTGGCCAAGAGTGTAGATTTCCTTCAAGTGCAATGGGAATCATTGGAGAATTTTAATGCAAGGGAGTGACATGATCTTTGGTGTTTTTCAAAGATTCCCTGATTGCTAGGTGAAGAAATGTTTATGGGGGGGGGGGGGGGAGAACAAGAATTGAAGCAAAGAGACTAGATGAGCCACGTGATGGCCTGGACTAGGGTGGCAGAGCGAATGAAGAAAGATGCATTTGAGCTATAGTTTGGAAGTGGATTGACAGAGCTTATTGCTGGATGCGGGGGAGAGGGTTTGAGCCAGTGGTTCTCAACCTTCCTAATGCCGCGACCCTTTAATACAGTTCCTCATGTTGTGGTGACCCCCAACCATAAAATTATTTTCGTTGCTACTTCATAACTGTAATGTTGCTACTGTTATGAATCGTAATGTAAATGTCTGATCTGCAGGATGGATTTGCAGGGTCGCGACCTACAGGTTGAGAACCGCTGATTGGGTGGCTGCCCTTTTCTACAAGGAAACGATTTACACAAGAGGAAAGGCCGCATCCCACAGCCCATGCGCCTCTCGCGGCACCTGCCGCATCCCTCGTGATGTGTGAGTATCTATCTGTTTGTCTTTCTAGGAGCAGACTGGACAGGCCTTATTCCCTCCGACCCCCTCGCTTAGTGGAATGAAAAGTGAACCGGCTTTGGAGTCAGAAACCTGGATTCTCTCGGGCTCTGACCCTCAGTAGCTGTGAGGCCTCGGACAAGTCACTCAACCTCGAGAGACTTCGTTCTCCTCATCTATAGAAGAGTGATGAGAAATAATTGGGTAGGTTGTGAGGATGAAGCAAGATCTCGAAGAGAAATGCCTGGTGCGTTCAGGTGCTCTGTGCTTTGATAAGGGAGGCCTTCCCAGGGGCTGAGTCTGATCCTGGAGAAATGGGTGGGGAGGCGAGAGGCTGGAGTGGAGCCTAGCAGCAGGGAGGGAAGCAGCTTGGGGCGAGGGGGGCGGGGGGGGGGGGGATGTCTGCCGCTCCTTGGATCACTGAGTAGCTTCCTTGGCCAGCCCCACCCCAAGCCTGGCCTCAGCCCAAGCCTGCCTGGTGGGGCCCTCTCCAGGGTCCGCACCCACAGCCAGGACAGGCCCCGGCCTGTACCCCACTCCTCTGCCTGGGGATGGGGATTGCTAAAACCACACACATTCCTGAGGGATTGATAAGACTGCAGAAGCCACGCCCACCACCCATGGGCCTACCCTGGCTGCATAGGAGGGGCGCACCAGGCCCTCCCCCTCTACACAGCAGGGCTGACTGCCAGCACCCGCACCCCATATACAAACACCCCAGCCCTTCCTACAGAGCACAAAATGGCACAGCTTCAAGGAACCCCGAAGAGTCCAGGCCCTGAATCTGGTGGGGACCCCAGCATGTTCCCCTCAGAGCAAGAACCAGCTTCATTTTTTTCCTCCCCGTGAAGCCCACACATTTTTTTTCAATGCTTAGAATCCTTTGGTGTTAGGGACGCTGTGGCTAGGGTACCTAAGGGTGCGGGATTACCTGTCTTCCTCAGGCATCTTCACCTTGATTATAGCTCCAAGGACTCTGAGACCCCAGTGGCATCCCACTGGCCTTGGTGGGTGCAGGACACACTCCAACCACGACTGTGGGGATAGGTGGGACAAAGAGGGGAGTTCTTAGGCTCTGGAGCCAAACAGGAGGCTTTGCCCTGACTCCCCGACTTCTCAGTGTGACCTGGGGCAAGTGGCTTAACCTCTCTGAGCTCCTGTGACCACATCTATGAAGCAGAGGTTGATGACAAGGTAAGTGAGGGTTAAATACAGTAGTGCTTGTGGAGAGTGTAGCAGGAGGCTGGCACATAGTAAGCAATCAATAATCAGACCTGTTCTTGCCCTCATCATTAATACAAACAAAGGAATAGTCCTGCCTTAGCCCTGGGACCAGGCAGGAGCTTGAAGGAAACTCAGAGCCCCCCTCCCACCCACCCCCCGCCCCCCGCCCCGGGACCGCCCCCCCCCCCCCAACCACCCTCATTGTGGAATCCCAGGACCTCACCGCCTTTTATCTGCCTGCCTCCTCCCTCTCCCCCCACTCCCCAGCCCGCTGCCCAAGCCCACATCCTGGAGCCTGGACCCAGCCCTCTCCCGCTCCGCTCCCCCACCCCCCCACCCCAGCTCCCCAGCTCCCGCTCACAGCCCTCTCAGCCTGCTGACTGATGATTCATCTGGCCCCCAGGCCATAGTCCTGCCTATCAGAAACCCATTTTTCCGGTTTCCCCTCCCAAGCCAGGGGCCCCTTGGGCCCTGCCTTGTTCCTGGCATAAGGGAGCTATATGGGGCCCTGAGGGGGAAAATATGGTCTCCTCCTTGACCCTACCCCAGACCTGGGACCTAGGGGCTGCTGGGGGAGGAGGGGGAGATCTGAGAAGCAAGGAGAAATCAAGGAAGCAAGGGGCCACCTCTCCCCTGGCCTGAAATAGGTCTAGAGCAGAGCCATGACTGACCGGGGAGGGACCCAGGTGTTGCAGGGCTGGGGGTGGGAGGAGGGGAGAGGTCAGGCTGGAGCCATGACTTCCCACTGCCTGGAGGGTCCAGCAGCCCCTCTGGCACCTCAAACTCAGCGAAATGAAATGCAAGCAGAATGTGTCTCCTCTGTGACCAAACTGCACCTCCCTGGTGGCCCATGCAGTCCCTCAGCTAGAGAACCAGGGAGCCCCCACCCCTCTGACCAGTGCACCCCATCAGCGGCCAGGCGCTGGCCTTTCCTGCATGTCTCTCAGTGGTCCCTCCTGCCATAGTCTTTCCCGAGCCCTGGTGTGGGTCCTCAGCAGCTCCCTCCCTCCCCTCCCCGCTCCTCTCCTGCAATCTCCCTCCAGCCCAAAGGGGTTCGTCCTTACCCCAGAACTGACCCACATGGGCAGCTGGGGAGGAGCAAAGCCAGCAGTGACTGCAGGAGCCCACGCTTCTCTCTGGATGGGGGGGGGGGGGGCGACCCCAGTCCTGGGCTCACAATCACTGGTTACCTACCCATGCCAGGCTAGGACCTTCCTCAGTTCACCTTTCCTTTACCACACCTTGGGACTGGGCGGGGGAGGGGGGGGGGTTCACTGGACCCATTTTACAGATGAGAAAACCAAGAGGTAGGCTGGTCATGAAGAGTGCACCCAGCCTACAGCTGGGAGGTAGCAGCTGGAGTTTGAATTCCAGTAAGACTTTAGAGCCTGGTTCTCTTCCCTGTTTACAGGTGTTTCTGAGACTACAGGGAAATAATCTGTGTTGGGAAGCTCCCAAGAGTAGTGAACCAAGTGGTTTCCTGGGGAGCTCTCTGGAAGGGTCTTTGTGGGGAGGGGTGTGTGTGTGTGTGTGTGTGTGTGTGTGTGTGTGTGTCCCTCCTGGCCAGCCTGTGTGTCTCACCTGAAAGTGAGTCTTGCCCACTGCTGCCCTCCACTGGCCAGAGGCAGAACTGCTGCAGTCTCTTGGGAATCCGGCTTCCAGGGGACCACATTGCTCAACTCGAGACCCAGAGAAACCAGGTGGTCTGAGGTTACTTCCTTCATATACAAAGAGCTCTTAGAAAGCAATCAGAGCCCTCGCTGGTTTGGCTCAGTGGATAGAGCATCGGCCTGGGGACTGAGGGGTCCTGGGTTCGATTCCGGTCAAGGGCACATGCCCAGGGTTGCAGGCTTGATCCCCGGTGGGTGGCATGCAGGAGGCAGCCAGTTGATGGTTCTCTCTCATTGATGTTTCTGTCTATCTCTCCTTCTCCCTTCCTCTCTGAAATCAATAAAAATATATTTTTTAAAAAGAAAGCAATAAGAAACCAACAAACATATCCAACATAAAAATAGACAAAGGATATAAACAGGCCATATCACAAAAGAGAACATTGCAATAGCCAAGAAGCAGACGAATGACCAAAGAAATGAAAACAAAAACAATGAGATGACATGTTCACCTATTAGATTAGAAATTGATCATGTTTTCTGTTAGGGAGGGTGTTGAGAATGGGCACTCATATTGTTGGTAGCAGTGAGATGTGGTACTAATCTTTGGCAGGGTAGTTGGGCAGAATCTATAAAACATTTTAATGCTCACATTTTTTGACCCAACAATCCACATCTGGAAATTTATCCTAAAAATGCAAAAGGACATATGTTTACAGATGCCCATTGCGGCACTGTTTATAGTTCATTCACTTATACAGGAAAATAGGGAGCCACTAAAAATGAAGGGATGGCTAGGGTTTATGCTGATCATATTTACACATCTGTGTAAATAGTATGTTTGTGAGTATGTAATACAAATTTTTTAATAACAAGGTGAGCATTTTTACATAGATATCCATGACATATTATTGAGTGAAATACTTAGATTGCAACACAATTAAAATACTATAATTTCCTTTATACAATGTTGTGTGTGAAGGTTTTACATACGTAGGGTGTGTGTGTGTGTGAGAGCATAGCGAGTTGTAGGGAAAACTACTGCCAAAATCTTAACAGGGAATGCCTTTGTATAATAGAATATGCACTTCTTCTATTACACGTCTCTTATGGTTTAAGTTTTAGGAATGAGCTTATATTATGTTTATAATGAAAACAGTAAAGCTGTGCTCATTAGGAAGAAAGCAATCAGAAGGTCTTGTTTCCCCGAGTGTGGGGCTCAGAGGTGGGAATGAGGGGGATGGCCCTACCAGGAGGCCATGGCAGCCGGCTGGGACTTTGGGGGAATCAGAGAGCTGGGGTTGGATCTGCTAGCCCATTGCGAAGCTGTCAGGAGCAAGTCCTGGGCTGTCAGAGACGGGAGGGCCTGCTCATCTAGTGCCCTCGCTTTGAAGCAAGAGTGATGGATGAGATGGTGGCTCAGAGAGGGCAAGGAACTTGGCTGAGGTTACACTGTGAGCCAACGCTGAATCCGGCATGAACCCAGGCCTTCCGACCCAAGGCCAGGGCTCTTTCCTCGATGCTCTCTTCTCATAATGAGATGGATCTGAAGGTCAGAAGGGTGCTTTTAACCTTCACACACCCACCGCCCCTCCCCAGGGACCAAGCGCACAATCCAGGGCATGTGCCCTGAGCGAAAATCAAACCTTGACCTCCTGGTTCATAGGGTGGTGCTCAACCACTGAGCCAGCCACACCAGCCGGGCAGAAGGTTGCTTTTAAACAGCACGTTTCCACAGATATGGGGCTGCCACCAGTTTGCTGTGAAAACAATTCTGTCCAACTCAGTCTCCGAATCTGCGAGCCAGGAAGTCACAGCGCCCCGAGAACATCTCCACTGACTGGCCTGTCCCTGACGCTGACCAGGAAGCTGACGTGTAAGGAAATGGGTGGTGGCCTCCTCTCAGTCCCCATGGCCTCCCTCAACCTCCTCACCACTCTCCCTGCCACCAGGACTGCCTCAATGACCCATTCTGTACACCAGCCTCACCGGTGCTTTTAAACATCACTCTGGCTGTCATTTCTGCTTGGAAAAGCTTTCCGTGGTTTTCCATTGCCCACATTCAAGGCCTTCAGCGATGCAGCTCCAACTTTCATTTTGCATCCTCCCCCCCCTCCCTCCAGCTGCATCCACTGGGGTCGCATCCTAGGTGCTGACCTAGCATGCCTTTTGGCCTACCTGGGCATTTGCTCATGCACCCCCCTCTATCCTATATAATAAAAGGCTAATATGCAAATTGTCCCCTTGACCAGGAGTTTGACCAGGGGGCGGGGCCTGCCAGCCAACTGCCCAAGGCCCCTCCCCCAAGCCGGCCCCACTCCAATCGCTCCCCCCCACCCTGATCGGGGGCAGGGCCG